TTCTTTGGAGCCATGCTAAAAAGCACACCAAAAAGCTTCACAGCCAATGTCTGTCTGCGACCACGATCTTGCCTACAGGAAACCATGACCACGTGTCATGGCAGGGGAAATGGCCGTGGATCCTGTTCGTCACCCGATGCGGAGTTCGCGAACGGAAGCAAAATTTTGCGAATGGTGCTGGTCACGAACCGAATTGTTCGTGAATAGAAGTGTTCGTGACCCAAGGTACCACTGTATTCTGTCCTGCAGAAAAAAGAAAAAAAAATGCTTCACATCTCCAAATAGAAGAAGACTCCCCTAGAGTGGCTAACGGTTGTCTTTTTGTTCAGTAGACTTCAGTAGGAACTCACAAGTATGGCAGTCACCTCAGGAGGAGTTTTCTAAGATCTTGAGTTGGGGTGTGAATCTGTTTAAATCATGGATGCCTGCACTGACTTGCCTCTTCCTCTCGCTGACCACTGCATATACTGACATTTCAACTACCAGATTGGCATCGCTGAACAGCAGTATAACCATTGGGTCTACACATCTATGCCTCAACACTGGCAAGGAAGTGACCCTGAGGACAGCATTCCTGAGAAGTCTCCTTCCACAGTTGAGTCAGTGGTAACACCATGGGTGATCAGTTGGTATGTGGTGATGACTTCCCATACTCCCTACCCTGTGGGCAGCTGTCTCACTCCAGGGCTTCTATTGCTTTCCTACCCAGTCTCTACTGGGTCCTCAGGATGGGCTGCCTTTCACATTCCAAACTACTTTCTGCAGCTGTGTCTGCTCCCCAGGACAGGACTACCACATCTCCTGTCACCAGACTAATGTGCATGGGATATCTCAGAAACCCCAAAAGGAATGCTTGGTAAACACCATGATGATACAGTCTGAAAAGTCCAATAATGAACTTCCTAGGGACCTGGCCTAGGAGCAGGTATGGAGTGTGGAATATCTCCGCTGATTGTGGATGTAGAGAGTGGGCTCTGTCACAGAAACAGACATATATGTGGTTGGAGGCTGTCCACTTCTCTTTGCACCTTCTGGACTGGGTGTTGCTCCTATCTGACATCTACATAAGACTGCTGGGTGAAGTCATCCCACAACATGAGATCAGGTATCACCAACATAAGTCAACTGCTTATCTTAGCCCTTGGCCAACCAAGTTGTTGAGATGCTGTCTCAGTGCTTAGAGGCTGTTAGAGTTTGGATGGGGAGGAACAGACTCAGGCTCAACCCTTACAAAATTGACTAGCTTTGGATTCAGTGATTGGCTTTGTGCAGGGATTCCTCATCTTTAGTTCTTGATGAGATTGCGATTCCATAGGTGGAACTAGTAAGCAAAGTGACTGGGAAAACATGATGATTGTGGCATGGCAGAATGGCACCCATAAGCATGCATGCCAACCCATGCTAATAACCCTCCCTCCATACTTATGAGTAGTGGGGGCAAACGTTTATCTTGGTTGCCACCATTTTGGACTGCTTACACCATTGTTGTGCAGCTGGAAGAGTGACAAACCAAAGCACATGAGGGGAGCTGAGCTCCAGCCCCCTATTACCAGAAATGGCTGTGGACCACATTTCCACTCACAGAATTCCCATTGTTGAACCAACCTGCAACCTAGGATGGTTAGTCCCAGGCTGAGGGAAAGGTGTGATGGGAAGGGAACAAGTGGCTGTATGATGAAAGTCACAGACAGGATTTTGGGGCAACAGTGGAAGAGGAACAGCTGCTGATCCAGTTCCTCCCTCTCCCTGCAGCTGTCCCACAATGTGATGGGAAGGGCAGCACTGGATCCTGCTGCCTTACAGGAATCTATGGAGCAGGACAGGGAATAGTGGTCAGAAGCACAGAGTTCCAGGGTGGGGGAGAGAAGATTGATGAGAATCTGTGTTCAGAGCAGAAAGAAGTAAGTCCTGGGTTCTGTGGAGCGGGGCTGAATGCCTAGCATGCCAACTCACACCCATCTGCACAGGCAGCATGTGCCCACATTGCAGCAGGAAGACCGACTCTGAACTCTGCTGCCTGGCGCATGATGTATCTGAATTAATCTGTTGGGAGTCCTCCTCCTGGGCATGGCTGGATACAAAGTGTGGGAAGGTGAGTGTCAAGTAACTGTGTGCAGCTGTGGGAGCTGAGATCTGTGGAACAAGATTTATTCATGTATTTATTCATTCTCTCTTTTTTTAAAATTTATGTGGCTGTCCATCTCAAATTCCTGACTCTGGGAGGCTAACAATTAAAAACTATACAAAAACATAGAACAGTATAAAAAAATTCAGTCAGCAGCTGAGGTAAAAAAAACCCCACCAGCAGCAAATTAACACAACCACTACATGGGCTCTGCCACAAGGTTAGGTCTCCAGTATGGACTTCTATGGGTAGCAGCCACCCAAAGCACAGCAGAAAGGGTATGTGTAGCATGGCTAAACTAACATGTGAATGGGATTCTCTGCTTCTGCATGTGGTTGGTCATGGCACAGGGAGAAGGGGAATAGTGAGCAACTGTATGTGCAACAGAGAATACTGAACACCAAATGCTGGAATCTATGCAGCTCTGTTGAGTGCCCAGTATACCAATTCACCCCATTTACATAAGTAGCAACCACCCAGTGATACCAACAGTACATACAAAATAAGGAAAGCACTTCCAAAATCTTCTGTAGAAGTCTATCAGTGAGGCATTACAGTATGTCTTTGAAGCTACAGCGCTTCTATTGACCCCTAGCATTCCCTTGGCTTTAATTGTCACAGCCTCAAAGCAAAGATGCTTTAATAAGGAATAAAACAGAAAACAAGGAGGAAACCCAGGAAATGGGGGGGGGGAGAGGGGAATGTTGTGGTATTCTGCATGCAAGCATTTGGAAAGTATAGGAAAAGAAAGGGAATCAGTGAGTGGGAAAGAATTCCAAAAAGGAAAAGGCAGACATATGGGCCAGCCAGTAAGGCTTGCCTTTTCTGCACAGATGGGAAGGGTGAGAAGCAGAAGAAGGACCAGTCATTGCCAAACTGTTGTAATCTGGCCTGGAACTTGCTATGTCAACTTCAGAAATGGCTGGGAGTAGCACAGAAGGCAGGCAACTTTGGCTTGTTACCACCTTAGTTTGACAGCAGCCTTCTAGTCCCCAACTCATCTTAAACCTGCTTCAGTTCACTTTACATTGCTGGCTTCTGTCTTGTAACCTTGTTCTCCCTGTGGATACTGCAGCTGTTCGATTTTAGCAGCTGACCCTCACCCTATCTCCTGCAGCACGAATAAGAACAGCCGCCACCGCCTGTTTAGACGTCTGTTCACACAGTATAGTCCTTCTAGGCCCAAGTCGTCCCACCACGCTATCTGGAAGCGCTGACTAAGAAGAGAAGAGGCTGCTCGTTTTATTGCATTAATTTATTTTTTAAAATTTTATTATTAATTATTTAATTATTAATAAATTAAAATTAATTTATTGCATTAATTGCATCCTTCTTTCTGACGGTGGGCAAAACCACAGTCCCAGTACCACTGGGGCAGCAGACAGCAGCCAACCTAACAAGCTGGAAGCAAAACAGCTCATTTTCCCGGCCGCCGGAAGCTGCCCTTCTCTATGCTGAAATGATGCAGCAGGAAGGTATCCCATTGCTGTTTTTGCTCTTTCGTCAATAATGGGAGGTGATTGGCGGGGGGGGGAACTGGACCAGTAGCCCCACCCAGTGGCGACTCCATCTAGATGCCTTCTCCTCCCTTGGCTGCAACGAGCAGCCAATGGGCAAGCGAGAAAGGCGTGTTCCAGCCGGCGTGGGTGTATGGGAGAAAAAGCGTGCTGGTGGGGGCTGACAGGCAGAGAAAGAACTCGCGGTTAGTGGCGCTCGGGTTTTCGTTTATCCATCATGGCATCCAAGTGCCCCAAGTGCGACAAGACTGTTTACTTCGGTGAGTCTTTTTCTCCTTCTCTCTTTGCATTATTGTATTTCTCCGAACATGTATCTCCGTCTCCGGTATTAGAGTGGTGTTTTCTAAATCCTGCAGCCTAGAGATTTGAGCGCTCTAGCCCAGCTGGTGGTGATGCTCGGCTCTCTCTTTCAGTGCCAAATTCAGGTTTTCTGCCCTGGCTGAGAAACTGTTCCTTCAGGAGCGCCCAGACTCTGCTGGGAGCTGAGAGGGCAGGTAAGGTTGTCTGCCTTCTTTTCAGGGAACATAGCTCAGTTTCTTTCCCCTCTAAAATGTGCCTCTCTGAAGTGAAGGTTATTGCTTTTATGGAGAGAAGGATATGATTTACTAGTTGTTGGGACCTCAAAGGCCAGCCAGTGTATGTGATTTCTCAGTTCCCCTTGTTGTCTGTCATCACTCCTCTCCTCACTTTGAGGTGTTTTCCAGTTGGTGACTGTGATACCCTTAAAACAAGAACAGGTCTCCCTGTGGATGTGCACTATGACTTTCCTTGTGGATTAAGGTTAAGGGCTTTTAGCTCACAAAGGCTGCAGGATTTAGAAAACGTTTCAATTTTTTGTTAAAAATCAAATGCTATCTGGGATTCCTCTGTTTCTGTAGCTGCTGCTTCCAAGAAGTAGGAGTGGTTCAAATTCCCCTCTTCAGCCAATTCCATTTATTTTATCTCAACCCCACCCAAAGCTGTTGCTACATTTCTGTGGTATCCATGACAGCTTCAGCCATGGTAGTAAATGGAATCTCCATTTTCATAACATTATAACTCTGAATCCCAGATGTTATGGACAAACAGGGATATATATCACCAGAATATTCTACTTGGGAATTTCTTAGAGGTGTATGGCTGGCAGTTGTTGGAAACAGAGCAGAGAGATCCAGAAATTCTCCTGCCCCACGCATACTGAGAATACCTTTTCTCTTTACTTTTAATCCAAATCTCATCTCTTTTTCCTTACAAAAATTCCCTTCCTTTCCATATTTACTCCATGCCTGACAACTAGTTTTTCAGAGGGAAAACCTGTATCTAAATCAGCTCTGTGTCACATTCAAAGTACTGTACTATTTTTCTTACTCAGTCTGGTGCTGCTGTTAGGTTACTAGCACATCTGATCAGCCTGTTTTCTCTGTTAAGATAAAGCATATTAAATGGGCAACTACTCCATTGCCAGCACCTACCAGCTCAACAATTGTCTACTGGAACAAAGCCTTGATTTCATATGTTTCCTTAGATATTTGATGGGGCATTGAGTAGAAGGAATTATCAACTTAAGCACATACTCTATGCATATGTACAGGTGTCTCTTTAAAATGGTAGTTGGTCATCTTGTGCCCCCTCTAAAAAAGCATCTGCAATTGGTTTGTTCCCATTCTTTTTGTTGGAAGCTGTTTTTGTGTGAGGAGATGAGAACTATATATGCTTAAGCCAAACTGATGTTTTCTATTATTCCAAAATGTATATGTTATCCTTAGACCAAAAGTTTTCTCAGAATGGTTTATAAATATCCTGTATTAAAGCCCTAATTGTCAAAAGCAGGTAGGGAGAACACTGAGAAATTTGAAGCCCCTACAGTGAACAAGTAAATGGCATGAAAGTATGGAAATCATCTTCTCCAGTGATTTTATATCAGAAAACAAGCAGCTCTTGCAGTTTATGAGTAGTAGTGCAGATTTAAAGAGATTAACTATGTGTTGAATTGTGGCCAGCATTTTGTGGGTCCATAACTTTATTTCTGTCTCTTATTGAATTTGAATTGAATTCTCACTCTGTTGGATATTTAGGAGCTGAGTATCTGAACAGATATGTAGCAACTTTGTTTTGTATGGTGTTCAGAGCCATTCAAATACGTGGACATATGTTGCAGGAATATATTTGTGAAGGATTATCATAGTTATTATGGTCTATTCTCAAACCATGGTCTGCTGCAGGCTGTCTACGTTCATTACCCTGCTGGGCCACTTCAGTCCTCCCTCTGCATGATTGATGCAGTACTAAAATTTAGTAAACTGACAATAATGAACAGCTCTCAAGTATACTTACCAAATATGAGTAGAACTGTGGAGTTGCACAAGCAAATAAAAAAATGAATACAGGTAGTCCCCCGTTTAAAAACAAGTTCATTCCCAAGGTCTGTCCTTAAGTTGATTTGTATGTAAGTAAGTAATTGTATAATACAATACTGTATAATACTGTATAAGTAGTATTGTGTAACTAACTCGAACCATTGTGTATTTAACTCAAAACATTGCATATTTAACTCGAATTTTGGAGCACTTATTCTGCTCCATTCTTAAATATGGGTCATCTGTAAGCTGGGCATTCTTAATCCAGGGACTACCTGTAGGAAATATGAAGAATGAGTATCTAAAACTGGGATTTTATTAGGCTGGGCATCTAAATGACCTTACTGGTTAGAGATTTCTATTGAACAATGTTCTTGACTAGCAAGTTTGTATTCTGAGCTGTTATTATAGATTTTGAATTAAAATTTTGGTTCAAAAGTTCATTTTAAAATGGCCTTTAAAAACAGAAGGATGGGCTGGTGTGCACAATTGCATTTATAATCCTGATCATATTTACTGAAAAATCTACTCCCATGCTCATCTTGGGTTGCTTGAGTTGGGCGTTTAATTGGGTGCTCTGATGTCCCCATATTTTCCAAACGTTTGTTTAGTGGTCCATGGTTGCAGTAAGTCTGAGAAACACTGTCTAAGTTTTCATGGATTCTTTGTTGATTTTCTTTAGTTGGGGGACGAACTGAGTATGCAGCCAAGCATTTATTTTAAGCCACCATTCTTTTCCCTGCCTCCGTCAAAGGAACATTATTGTCTTTTGTTCAACAGCAGATGCATTGGTCCAGAATGTGGTTTTGTTCCTGCTGCACAATAACTTGGCCTGATTCTTTTCTTTATCCTGGCAGTCTTTGTTCTGGGTATTATTAGCTGCTTGTGGAGAATCCAGGAAGGCAATCTCTGCTCACTAGTTCATTTTTTAATAGAATTGGTAGAACATTGCTTTGTTACATACAGCTAAACACCAATTCTATTTTGAGCATCTGTTATGCACAATTCCTTTTTCCTTCCTGGAATTGGTTGAGTTTGATAAATATGTGACAACACAATGGTCAGTTTTCCAAATCCTTCCTGTAACTGAATTGTGTACAACCCAATGTACTTGTTTCTCTTCCACCGTTTTCAAATAACCACATTAAGGAAGATAGATTTTTTTGTTTAAAGTTATTTGTGCAGGAGTGATGAAATTTATTATGAAATAATATTTCTACTTTCTTTCCATTCTCGAGAATAAAATGAGAACTATATTCATGGCATTTTCCTCTATGAGTGCTTTTGGAATCACTCCTGTAGAAAAATATCTACAGAAAATATTGAAGTCAAAATTGAAATTCTGTATGAATTTATAGGAAACATCTTTGAGCAATTACTGGTCTGGTTCAAATATTACACCATTATACAAGGAATGTGCTGTTTGTCCATATGCAGCAGAAGAACATGAGACTCTTTGGCCTGAGGTTTCTCATATCTACTGTGGTTATACATCTGAGACCAATTCATATTCCATGGTTTATTGGATTTTGATTATTACATTGGGATCAAACCACAGATTTCTATGGATTTTTGTGGACTATTTTGTCTTCTTTTAACATGTTTTTATTTACATTAAACAAGAGACTCTGAGATATGTTCTAACTCAACATGAAAGCAAACTAAACCTGGAATCAGGCAATTCAGTATCATCTTCCTCAAGGCAAGATAGATGTGTTCCCAATTTGAAATCCTCCACAGAGCTTCATCTCCAGTTTGTAGCTTTCATATCAAAAAGAATGAAAAGAAAACTAACCATTTGGTGTCCATTTATTTAAAAAAAAAGCCTTGGTGTATTGGAAAGAGGAGACATTGGATTGATCACAGGTTTTATTTGAGTCAGAGAAACTTTGTAGTTAATTATTCCAATCAGAGCCTTTTGCCAGGTAACAGGATCATGGGAGCTGAAGGGGTGTGTGTTTAATAAACACCCATATAACACTTCATTGTTACCCAAACTATCTTCTGAGTGATTGTGGCAATTTTTAATAATCCACTTCATTCGTATTCTCACTTGATCCTCCTTCAGTTGTTTCACTTACTGAACTTTACATTCCTTTCTTCTCAGTCCTTGCCTCCCTTTCACAACACACTCAGGCACACAAATCTACATAAATTTCAATATTTTGTTCAAATAAAATAATTCTCAATTGTACTTGTTTTTACTTAACTTTCCTGTCCATTAATAGCTTTTTTATCTTCTTTTTCAAGGTAAGCAGTATTCCCCATCCATTGTGTGCTATAATAAGATCATGTTAACACTGTGACTCTCTGGATCCTATCTATCATTTGTTGCTTAGTGTTTCCACATTTTCTCACAAGTTGTACTTGCTTGAAAGTTGGATACACCATAATTTTTGATATTTTTATTATAATTTCTGACTTCATAGGAAATATACATGCATGTGGAATTTTGAGTGAAATTAAATGTAACATGAGATAATAATTAGAAAGGACTAAGATACTAAGAGCTTTGATTGCAGCTGCACCATTTTCTAATATTGATAATAAAATTTGGCCAGGAGAGGGAAAAAAAACTAATTTTGGCAACTCATTTGGAGTATTCTTTGGACCTGTATTATTTCATACTAGTGATTTTTTAAAAAAAATTGGAAGTAAATTCTTTTTTAAAAAGTTATTTGGTACTCTGCGAAGAAGTATAATTGAATGTTTCTTAAGATACCCTTTCAAAAAGGTTATAATATATATACTTTGGTTAACATTTTTTTCTTCAAATAAACAGAGTACTGTGGAAACAAACCTGTTGACAATTGTTACAGTATTTCCTCTATTGCCATGTTCATTGAAAACCCTGAGAACTAAATTAAAATGTAAAACAGAAGTCAATATGTAACAAATGTGTGTGTGACTGACTTGTGCATCTCTGAAATGCGATAAGAAAAATGTGTGGACTTTTTCTAAATTGCCCTGCCCAGAAAGACGTGAGAATGTCTGACTACTTGTATGAAGAACTGGTGTTCTTCCAAGAGCAAGTTTGATAAAACCTTTTGAACATATGGTGACTTCACCTACTTCTTGTTCACAGATACAAAGGTTGAAAATTGAGAAGCTGAATCCTTGTATCTGTGCATGTCTGCATGCATCTGTGTCACACTTCT